TAGCGTAAAAATTTTCAATATTAAAGAAGTTGAAAAGTTTTAGTTGTTAAAAAATACGAATAGAAATTAGTAAACGTTTCCCGTTGCAATTGTTCGTTAAAAATCCTTTGACCTTTGCGAATAATTTGTATGTAGTTGTTCTAACTATGAACGTTATAAAACTTTCTCACTTGTGGTTACAATTCTTGGGGAAAATACGCAAAGGTTTTTTTTAACATTATGAGAGTAGAAATATTTATTATATATACATAATATGAAACAATACTTAACATATTAAGTTTACTACTATAGGAAAGGATAGTAAATAGAATCTTTGAAAATATATGTGAATATTTTTTTGACGAAGTAAAGATGGTTCGTAAAATTCAGAGCACGTCTATTTATAATGGTGATGGCACATCGTTATCTCCTAAATTATCGATAATTCACGAAATAATATAATAATAAATAAATTGAATTTTCTGGAAATTTTTTTCGTTGGGAGTAAAATTGTGAGTAAAAATGGAGGTTGTGCTAAAGCGATGTGCAGGATTCAACCATGTTTTAAATTTTGCTAAAAAATCAATGCTGATAGCTGTCGAGACCTATGTCCAAAAAGCGTCTAATTGTTTTGTATTAAATATTTTTACCTCTTGATAGCAACCAAATGGAATAATTTGGCGAATATCTAATTTAATTTTTTGTCGACGTTTCGCAGCTTGTACAGTACGTAGAAAAATATCGGTCTTCTCTTTTTATCTGTCCATCTATTAGAGATTTTATTACACAGATAATATTCGAAACTGCTGGATTGATTATTATTATGAAATTTTAGGTAGAGTCATACATAAATCCCGTACAGATGACAATTTGAATTTGTGTCTATGTCTTTGATTTTGAGACAACGTAAAAGTGAGGTTGTACGGGATTTATGTGAGCATAACTGTACACATTACTTTAAGAATCTGGTGTCCAGGTAACACGCACACAAAAATGTGTACATTTATTCCCAGTAAAAATTTGATAACTTCACCTCAAAATCAATACCAAAGTATAATTATATGTATATATTTACTTGAAATCCATATTATTAACATTCGACGTAAAAATATTACAATTTCAACTGTGGGTACGAGTTATTACATGAAAATAAAATTTTACGGTTTATCTTACAATATACACATTAAATGTCTTTGAAATTTTGGTAAGAGTGATTTAACGGTCGATTAAAACTTATTTACTCGTTCCCTATACAAAGTTGATGACATGATCTCAATAATAATAAATATATTCTTTTATGTAAGAGCTTTAAGAAAAATTATTAAATTAAGCAAAAATGATTAATAATAATCACTGTTCAGTATGTAATGTAATTTTAGTGACATTAAAATTAATTTGCACTGTTTTTGTTATTAAACTTTCAAGATGCATGCTGTGGAGGTATAAATCAATAAATAAATAAGTATACCTAATTTTGAAAAAAAGCTTGTCACTTCTAGCTCCTTTACTTTTAGATGATAATCTATTTTTACTTTTACTGTAACACATGTGCATTATTATAAAAAAACTGCAGAACCATTTTATAAATTATCTGAAAAACAAGATTTCAATAACAAAAGGCATTGAGTAAATACATATCGATAGTTTCATCCTATGCTTTCCCGTGATCAACCCAACGGCCGGCGAATAAGGTGTACTTGGCTGTCAAATAATAGCTTGAGCCCTAATTACGCGCCTGGAATACTCACATCACAAACCAAACATGAAAAAAAAAACTTTTTAAGTCTACCACTTTATAGACGGAGATGGAAAGAAAATACCGTTCCACGCCTTCCACCGCATGAAGATGTCATAGTAACCATTAACACATATAATTGACAGCATTGCCCGAAGCCTGTTTCAGCTTTTGGGTTGTTCTAAAATGAATAAAGTACATATAATACAAACAAATTATACTTATTGCTGTTCTAAATATTTGTTAGTGGCATGTTCATATTATGTGCTAAATTTTTATTAAGTTATTATTATTATTATTATTATTATGTATTATTTTATAGTATGTTCAACAGAATAAATTCCAATTACTGAACATACTTCAGACTATTTTCAGTGAACATACTTTTTAATACTACCCGAAGTAATATAACTAGATCTGAGAAAACTCAAGTTAAGTTATATTTTCCCTGTATACTCGCGTTGTATCAAATAACTCTGTCCATCACTTAAATGCCTAAAAGGCGAGACGGCTTAGTCTGCAGCTCGGTCATGTAAAGTATCAGGTAGTTGCAAAATTTTGTACCGCAGTTCGGACAGGCTGGATTAGAAATATCCAAGAATCTGGGGCAGGGATCAGGCAAAGTTGTAAATTATTATCTTAATGGTCATTATGACATTTTCACGGGGCGGACGGCGTGAATTCGTCGTCCGTAGTCTAGATGCGCGATTGGAGCCCGAAGTATATGACGGCCAAACGTTGGTGCACCATAGGATTTAAGTATCTACATATATGTACGTAATTAATCGATGCAAAAGAGCTGGAAAAAGTTTACAGAGGGCTTGGTACTAAGGTTGTTAATACGTCCTGACAGTTTTTAAGGTCTTCTCAGAAACGTTAAGGATAAAGTAGAGCCCAATAAAAAGTCGGGAATTTATTAAATAAGCTGCAAAGATTGTAGTAAAAAGTATATTGGGCAAACAAAATATCAATCATCACGCGATTTAAAAAGCACATGACTCACCTCAAATTCAGATTTGGAAAATCAAGTGAAGCTCAACATATTTTCGAGAATGACCACAGAACAGACGTACATACAATACATAATTACAATAACTGTTCACGAAAGTATAGAAATATTCAAAAATAAAAATAATTATGTAATGAATTCAATGTATCCCGCACTCGTTTCGCAAGGCCCTTGTGGAATCAGAGAGGAGGAGAGTAACAGGAGTAGAGTAGACAGGATACAAAATACTACATTTTTGTAATTTAGTATTTTTAGTGTTACAGGGTACAAGAGATTATAGAGGGTTTTATCTGTGAATGAAGATGAACAATAATGGGCTGTATAAAAATGTTAAACCAGATTAAGTCTTTCTAATGGTGAACTTATCTCTAAATAAAGAGAACAAAAAATCCTATAAAACATAAATTGCATCAAGCAACTAGGCCAGTGTGTGAAGGAAGATCCCTTAAGAAAATGAATAATGTAAGTAACTAATCACTAAAATCAAAATTCACTATATTGTTCACAATGAGAAAATGTACAGAAAATATGCGTATAGTTTTTCTCCAAAGCTTGCTGATAAGAGACCAAGGGAAACAGATCTTCGGTGCTAGCATCACATAAAAAGACATCAAGAAATAAAATGAAAAAGAATACCAGATTTAAATTAAGTCATATATTTTCGAAGTGTTTTAAGAATGGCCTGTAGGTGTTAAATTATATGTTCCAAGACAAACCCGTATCAACTTTCAAATGACATTATAGTTGTTAATTGTTCTGTTGGTGTTCGTTAGTTCATTTATTTCTTCTCAACAATGTACTCTATATTTAAGAATTTGGTCATTGGCTAATTAAAAAGGTTATGCAATGCACAAAAAGTATTACGTGATTATGTATATTTTTCTTCTAACTAATCAAGACGTTGATCAAACTACCGGTAATATTTTAGAATGTGTTGCAGATCTAGTTTTACAACCTCCTTCGAGTTATTATAATTATCAGCGCATTAAACACGGAACACTACGTGGTAACTAGCGAACAACATACTAAAATATTGGCTACTAATTTAAGTTAGTTATATCCACCGCTTGACATGCAGAGGTAATAAACCTAAATTTGAACTTTTTGCACATAAAAAAGAAGAAACAGCAGCGAAACTGTTGTAATCTGCTAGATTACAGCAGTTTAAGATACCGCGAAATCTGTCATTTACTTAATATACAAACATTTCTGTGCTGATCATGTACTAGACATCTGATTGGAAACTATTTTGTCTAGTGTACTCTTTTTCGTTCTATGCGAACATATCTTACAATAATACTAAAAAGTTTTCCTCCCAAGCGAAGCAGTTAAATCAAAATTTCTATTTTTTTTTGCACAATGTGATTTGGATACGTCTTCATATTATGTATGATTTTATAAAGCTGTGGAAATTTTTGCAAATAAATCTTCACGCCAAATTTATGCAAAATACTTTCTTATTTTTTAAACTTACATATTTCATTTTCAATGAAGTAAAAAAAAAGATACGCATAATAAACTTTTCAACATAACGATGTTTTTGTGCCTATTATGTGAATACTATTCCCTGCCTTCTTCTTTAAAAACTATTTTTCAACAAATTTTACAATTATAGACATTATGCACTTCAAGTTTAAATTTTTTAGCGAAAAAAAGTTAAACTAAAATACGGATATGTAGTATTTTTACTGTACTAAATTTTAAAACTTGACCCGGTTTACAGAGGGTCAATTAAAAATTTGATTGCGATTAAATTTTTAACACGGCGTTAAAGTATCGTAACCGACTCTACCACAATTAGACGTCGTTAACCGCCTCGTTAAATGCGTGATTAATTTAATTTCAGTTAAAATATGTTCTAAACTGGCTCTTGAAGTTTAAAAAAGACAATACATACAAGGGTTTTTTACAAAAATTTAAAAAATTTTATGAAATCAATGATAGACTTTTTGCAGATATATTTTTCCAGTGTTTGTTCGCCTGAAATGGTACGAATTGTAGAAGTGATAATGCACGAAATTATCACTGCGTAGTAGAAGTAATAAATCTACTCGTACATGCATTAAATAAAACGAAATATAAAATTTGTGAAAATATAAAGTCATGCAAAAACAAATTGCAAATTATCGTTTTAGTTATTTTAAAATCCGTTAGTGCAGTCATACGTGTCAGAGCAGGTGCAGCTTCCGTTTTTTTAGCAGTTTTGTCTTTTATTAACGTCTTGTTACATTAAGTACATAGATAAGTTTTGTGTACGAGAAAAAATAGAAGACTTACCTTGATGAGTTCTCGTGTGTTGATCTAATATAGCTTTTTGTCTAAAATCTTTCCCACACTGCGCACACTTGTATGGTTTTTCACCAGTATGTATTCGCAGATGTTGATTCAAAATCGTTCTTTGCCTAAAGTTTCTTCCACAGTAAACACAACCATACGGTTTCTCGTTCGTATGAATTCTTAAATGCTGCGTTAAATGCGACTGTTGTCGAAATCTTTTCCCACATTCTGGACAAGGGTACGGCCTCGATTCGATATGTATACACCCGTGTTGTAACAAAGTCGACTTTTGTTTAAATTCTTTTTGGCAAATTGGACACCTAACGTATAATGGCATTCCTGCTGATCTCCCGTGTTGTATCACGTCGGGTAAAACTTTCCCAGATTGTTGTTGCTTCAGATATTGTAACGCTCCAAAGTTTGTACTTGAACCGAACACAGAATGGTTCATGCCTTTGGCATCTTTAAAATATGCTGGATACTGAAGATTGCCAGAAACTCCATTAGGCGAGAAGCAGCCAGTTCTATCACTTTGAGAGTTGTTAGTATCACCATCGCCATAAGTTGAAGCAACCTCTTCCTTGCCTTCGTCCGGCGGAAATGGAACATCTTGAGGCCACAGTGTGGGATTGATACCGTTTTTGAATACCAGATGAGGACTTACATCTGAAAAAAGAAAATGTTGTTACAAACCTTTTTCAATTGAGGCGATTCTACCGAAAAAATATAACTTGACTTCGTGTAAAAAGTGGGTTTGGGTTAATACTATTGACTGAACAATAAAGAACACGATAGAAGACAGCCATGGATTTCTGACGACTTGTCTGGTGGAGTTTTTGTTTGGTTAGATTAACGTCAATTTGGAAGTTTGAGTTGAAAATACAATGATCAGAGACAAACTTACAAAAATCCACGGTGTCTTTGATCGTGTTTTTTATTGCTCTCTCGGTATATCTCTATCTAACTAGAAGTCTTTTTAAATATCCCAGGAAAATTGTTTTGTAAAAAATAAGCATGCTTTGGAAAAAGTTAATTAAATTGTATATATAACCAAAAAATGATTTAGAAATGAAACAAATATTGAATGTAAAAGATCACTTTTTGTCGCATTTAATTTGATTTCAAACCTTGAAGTCATTGATTGTACAGTTACAACAAGATCTGATAAAAGATCTACAGAAATTGAAATCTCAGTTTAGAACTTCAGGAAAAAAGCACCCCGGAATGCAGTACACAACTCTAACAATGTGGTAAGCTGCAGCGGTATTTTTAGTGTTAGATGCTTTAATTTATGTAGCAAATAGCAAATATAAATTTCCCTCATTTTGTCAGAATGTGATAATTAAAAACTTATTCAATTCAATGAAGATATTTCATACAAGCTCAAAAAATAAATCCAAACCCACTTTTGTAAGTAATTTAAAATTGAACATTTCGTATACATTTAATTATTGCACAGAAGATTGTGACGTTTGTTTCGTATACCTATTCTGCGTTGTATGTAAAATGTAATCACGACAAAGTCTGTACTTTTCAAATGTATATGAAAAAAATTTATATTCAAAAAGTGATCAATTTTATAAGCTATAGCAAAAGTTTTTCAATTTTCTTGAAATCGCTTAGTCATCTCATCAAGTCACGAATACGTAAAACTGTCCGGATTTGTATAAGACTCGTTGGTAATATTTTAACAAAATTGCATTGCTTTGATCGCTAGGAGGTACAGCCATGGAAATGGGGCTATAACAGTAACTACTTATAATGTAGAACATCATTTCGAGTGAGTAAAACGCAAAAAGAATGCCTTCCAGGGTGAAGTGGAAACTCTAAATGGTTTATCATTATGATCATTATTTTTATACAGTCAAGAAAGAGAAGAATAAAATTTGTTTCAGACATCTATTGTGGCATCATTAAGGATAAATACATGACATTGCAAATCTAAGACAGTAAACACCAACGAAATTAACATTTTGTCAAAAAAGTTGGAATCATTAAAACGCTAATTAATTTACATTTCAAATTTTGTATAAGCGTATTATGTTTATTGTTTTTCTGTTACAATTTGGTATGAATTTGAAACGAATCTGAATCCATGGCATTCATTTCTCTAGTGACAACTGCACGAAGTCTGTAATTAGAAATTACATATTGACGAATGTTTAATTTAAGTTTTCTTGGCGTGTTGTGGCTCCTAGAATACGAAAATGTAAGTACTTCCTGTCCGTCTAATTGTCGTTTGATAGTGACAATTGGAAACTAGTGAATCGAACACATTAAATTTTGAAGTTTAGTGGATTCGTTGAAGGTAACATTATTGTGACGGTGCCAAAACTATAATTTTCTTCTAGTTATCCCCTTCACGAAAGTGGTAGCCATCTCAAAATGTTAGCCGACACTTAGATACTTCTTATGTGTAGAGAAAGTGCTGGTTTATGTTTGGTCTAACAATCCAATCTAATCTTATTCTCAACTTTGCTTACATAAGTTGTCTTAAAATTCGTTTCTTTAATTAAAAGATATATCCGAGGACAGCCCTGATGTTCATAATCATAAGAAACATTAAGATACCAGATCGAATCAATTTATTTTGAACTATCGAATTTCACCGTTCATTTCGGAGATTATTTAACAGAATTTTTCCAAATTTGATAAGCTGTTAATATTGAAAAACTAACTGAAATTTATTTATTTGATCCCCCTAGAAAGTTAATGACGTCATGTCAAAGAATACCACGATAAGCCCGGGTGTATTTCAGCAATATGTTTCATGTTTAATCTATTCATTTGACTGATTCCTTCAAATAAAGCTGAACTAGTTTTGCTCAAATTTTAACAATATTATGTTAATAAGTATTATTACATAATGTAGAAACTACTTACGGAATACATACAATTTAAAATTAATTTAATTTTAAGTGCGTAAAAGTTGCTGTACGTATTTGTGGCTTCATCCCCTTTCGAGCTATCATGTTATATGTATATTTTTTTATAGAATACTAGATTTTGTAGACAGTACCTTGAAAGATCTTTTCAAGAAACCCACATTTGTTCCACTCATTGTAAAGAATTTGTTGTAAAAATATAATAACATTTGTACTCACATCAAATTTCACAAAAATGTGAGAAACATGTAAAAAGTTGCAGATTGAGCTTTTAAGATTTCTCCAGTTTTGTTATTATTTAAGAAATTTCTACACGTTCGTGTGAGTTTATGTACAATATTCGTTAGATAAAATGTGTATTTCAAAAACTATTTAAGGATATCTTAATAATGTCTTAAAAGTACTATCCATAACTAAAACAAATTACAATTTGGTACTTCTTTAACTTAAGCTCGGGAAGGAAAAACATAACGTTTTATTTAAAAAATGAGACTGACGTCATAGCTCACAGTGGATGACATCACGAATAAGTGAAAAAAGTTAAAAAGCGCGTAATTAGAAATAAAAATTGTTTTCGATAAATACCATTAGTTTTGCAATTACTAAATTTATTCCATAAGTACGAGTAGTTTCCACACTTTAAATTCATGTTAGAGTATTCCTGAGACTTCAAAAAGTCTTATTCTGTAGGTTCTAAGATCAATTGCAACATTTCATTCTATCAGTTATATTCTTTTCGATAACCCGTATGCATAAGGTTAAAAATATCGATACCTTATTATGTTACTACCGATAAAGGTGAATATTAACAATGTAACTTTCAACTACAAACAAAATTTTAAAACGATTTCTTAAAGCTTTTTTTGCATTTTGGTTAGTGTTTTATCATTTACACATAGTGGGTCCAGTAGTTTTGGAGATCATCTATCGTCAACAGACAGACGATCGACAGACAGTCCTTGGTTACTTTTTTAAATTTGACCGAGGCTCTAAAAAGGCAATTTTTATGAAATAAATTTTAATTGAATTTTTAATTTTAGAAAATTTGCATATTTAGAAACTCGCGGAAAATGTGTAAAAAAAGGAAGAACACTTTTAAGCTTTTTTTAAACATTTTTGCTGTTATTGACGCACTAGTGTCTGTGATTTTATGACACAACACAAAATAAGTTTACACAGTGGTAAAAGATATATCCGATGATAAAATTTAGGATGTATCTTACACGAATAAAAAAAACTTTTCCGATTGAAACTGGTTATATAATTTGAGGTTAGCTTCATGTATTTTTTCAGAAATTAAAATAAAAGAATAATATGTAATTGTAATTTAAAATTGTAATAGTTTCTTATAAATTTGAACATTTCTTAAATTTGGCATGGACCAGACTTATAACGCATACACAACACAAGGTTTAAAATGATAAAGAAGATAAAGATTAACTGTTCAAAAACAAAATACAACTTTCAACAACTTTCCAAGTTTTTTTGAGTTTTCGATACTATCATTATTTCAGTAATCAGACTAAAAACAATGTTTTCTCTTTGTCACTTTTTAAGGAAACTGTATATTCCTATTATTTGCTAATACCGAAGGAAATTATTAGTCTTACTTGATTTTTACTTCACGAGTACAAGTTAGAAAAGTATTCTAATAGGATTATTTTAATTACTGTCTGTTCATATTTTCTTGGCGTTCCACAGCTTGTACAACACAAAAATGCCGATCTTTCTATCTGTCGTCTGTATGTCTGTTGGCAGTATATTAGACATATCTCCAAAATTAGTGAACTGATTGCTGTGACATATAACCACCCAAAAATCTGAATCCATCGTGTCAAAATCGTATGGAATTGCTGCTGCATCTGTCACTAAACAATGTATTGATTCAACCCATTTAGCATTATGACTTTTATACTGTTATTTTTTGTGACAACACAATATATTCTTTTAATTCTCAAAAATTTTGCCTCACAATTAATCATGGTTTAATACAATTAAGTATATTGCTGTTAGCTTCAGATTTGGTTTTCCGTCCTTGTGACGAGGCTACTTTTTACTTTCATAGCCTTCGAGCACTTTTTCAAGGTATATTTATACCAAGTTTGACAGGTTCATTACTTAAAGTGGTCATTGTAATGTTAATTTCAGTCACATTTCAACATACACGTTTCTTACATACGATGACCAGAAAAACGTACAGTTTAATTTAATATACCTATCTGAAGTTAAGTTTTCAAAATAATATCGAAAATATGACTGTGCTTGCACTAGTGTTTTTGCTTTAAAATACACCGACTACGAAATTACAATAAAAGAAACATTTACTTCGCTCGATAACAAAAAATTAATTCTTCTATTTCTAAAATTCTGCAACTGACTAATTAATTAACAGTTTTGAAAGTCAGCAATTTTTGAGATTCATGGTGCGTACATTAAACAGAAAAACTTTAAACTTGAAAGCGTGTAAACTTTATTTAAAACTGAATTTCGATAATTTTAATTACACAAATGGATACATTTCTTTGAGAAAAAACATTTCTTTCTTAAGGGATTATTGTTTGAGCTCCAAAAATATTTATTTGGTTGCTTAGGGAATTTTTGGTGTTCGAGTTTTAAAATAGCGTAGGAATTACGTTGGAAAACAATAATTGTACTATTTTTTCGCAAATGCTACATTAGAACAATTATTTTGTACAAATTTGTCTAAAACTATTTAGACAGAACTTCTAACTTCACCCCTAAAGTACAGGCGAACAAGTATAAATTCTTCGAAAGATTATAAAATTAAATTTTGCCTTTTTTTTTTTAAATGACAACCCCATTAACTAAAATAAAGCCATGTATTATGTGGACTATTAAAGTGCACGTAAAGAAGCATGCTGGGAGTTGTTTCAAGTGAGTTTTTCCATTGCAAAATTTTGTGATGACGTGATAAACTTTTTAGAAGGAACACATTTTAACTGATGCAGAGTAAAATTTTGGAACTAATCAACAAATCGTTGTACTAATGGCACCGTATACTTAAATTTTGGAACCGTTCTTTATTTGGTCAACAAAATAGATTGTCTCTTTCATTAATTTTTCACCCTGTATATATAGTCATCCCATTTTTGTTGGGAATGATAATACAAATTTTGGTTAACGTTTTCCCATCTACACGACATTCCTAACATACATATAAAATTGGACAATACTTTCGGAGATTATCTATTTAATAAAAATCGACACAAATTGTTACGCGGAAAGGCGAGACCTACTTTTTCGTACTTCAGGGATCATGAAACGTGGAGAAAAATGAAAGTAGCCATTTGTTGAATTACAATACTTCCTTAGCTAAAGCTCCAGAAGTAAAAGTAGGAATTTTTACATCTTATGAATCTCATTTTTCAAAAAGAAATTCTATATAGTTCACACCCATACATTAATTACCCAATTAATGCATTTAAAAAGTGGATAATTATTTAATTAACATGCCAGAAGAGGCGGCTTAAATGACAACGTAATACAGTACTTGCCCAATCAGGCGTGAAATGCTGTTGGTCGCTTTGTTTTGTAGTAGCTACATTTGTTTTATACTGACAAGAAATATATGTAAAATTATAAAAAAAAGTGGATGCATATTCCAACGTTAATTGTCGCTTATCTACACTAGACTTTCTTACTCATACCGTGCACTCTTTTGCATTAAAAAAAACTGTAACAAATTTTGCAAATTCCAAATGCTAATCGACCTTGTCCATTTTCACGACAATTAAAAGCAGCAAATTAAAAAGTTAGCGTCCTTAACCTGAAATTTACTACGCTAACCTAAAATTTGTAAGTCATTGCTTGGACAATAATCGATATGTTTTTAAAATGATATAAAACGGGCAATGGTTTTTCTGTGGTTTCTATTCTAATTCTAGCAGTAGATAGTAAGAACTTGAACACTCAGTATGTTAACTCAGCGTTAAATGAAAATACCCGAGCACAGACTAGAAAAGTGAGTTCTATGAAAATTACTGCGACGGGGATATGTTTTAAGTAATAATTCTTTCATGTTTTAAAACTAGAGGGAAGCGACGGGTCCCACCGATATCGAGTGGCTACGAATTCATGGTGCGCACTGCTTTACGAATTTTCAAGTTCAAATATACTGAAAGTCCTTATTTGACTTCAAAAACACTTTAACTTTAACATATAAAGAAATATTTCGTTGCGTTCTATAATTTCGGGTGATTTGTTAAAACTTGCAAAGTAAAGCTGGTCACAGCAAAGTAAATAAATTTCTATGTACCAAAGGTCCAAAAATAATACCAGATTTCTGTAAATTTATTAAGAAAGTATATTCACTGCACCCAAAAGAGGTCGCTAGTTATCACAATGAGACGTTATAAACTTCGTGAGATGACTCATTTGGTTTACGTACAAGTGAGGTGTGTTGTCCTTTTATTTAGCTAATCCAACACAAGAAACAAATCTCAAACAACTCAGCAACATAAAATCGTCTAGTTTTCAATGTTTACATAGTTTTTGCACAATAGGCCCGTCGCGGAGTTGGCCTTCACCTCACTCGAGACACCGTGAACGTGGGTCAATGCGGCACTGAACGAACAAGTTCAATTTTAAGTTACTCCTTGCGAAAACAAAGCATAATCGTGGCATGTCACACATGCACTGCCACATCGCAAGTCGAAATGAGCGCAGCGGCGATTTCGACGTCGATCAGAGACTAGCAATAGTACATCACAGAAAAAAAGAAAAGAGTGAATATGTTGGGAGTGCAGCAGACCAACTCTAACCGCCCGTGCGGTGGCAACAGCAACAGCAAAATGGATCACGGGGCCGCGAGAGTGGCCGCCTTTGAGGAGGGGCGCTCGCCTTGGTGTGTGCGGACGTGCTGGTTGAGGATGGCCTTCTGGCGGAAGTGTTTCCCGCACTCCGGGCATTCATAGGGCTTCTCACCGGAATGGATTCGCAGGTGCTGGTTGAGGATGGCTCGCTGTCGGAAGGTGCGCTCGCAGTACACACACGCGTACGGCTTCTCGTTGGCATGGATGCGGAGGTGCTGCGTTAGGTGGCTTTGCTGTCGAAACCGCTTCCCGCACTCGGGACACCCGTACGGCCTGCTGTCGGTGTGGATGCGTTCGTGCTGGAGGAGGGTCGATTTTTGCTTAAAGTCTTTGCCGCAAGTCAAACACTTGAACAGTCTTAGCTCGCCACCGAGGCCGTTTTTGTTCGGCTTCAGATTAGACTGCTGCTGCTGAATCACGTCCGGCAGGCTTGCCGATCGCAAGTCCTGCATGTTTCCAGGGTATTGGTCCAGCTGGCCGTTTCCTGAAAAATAACGGAGACATCTTTAGTGATACGATAAACGATGGAATGATCGATGGAATGCTCAACCTCCATGCGGTAATACGATTCGTGTGTACGTACTCACACCTCTGTTAGAAGTTTCCTGCATTTACCCACTAGATAAACGGTGGCGCGAAGACAACGTTTACCATATGATTTCTAGAGGCTTTATTTGTTTTAATAATGAAAAGTTGGCTATGAACTTAATTATGTGTTTTGATCATTGCTTCTCTGTTAAAAATTTTAAACAATATATAGGTATTTAAGTCACTGTCAGTATTATTTCAGGGGCGGCTGGTGCCAGGGGGCATAAGAGCACGTGCCTCCCAAAATTACAACCTCTACAAACACACTGGACATAACAAAATAGTAATTTTCAATATTTAAAAAATAAAATTTTAAATAAATTTATTCACGGGAGACCCCTTTAGTACACAATTACACATTACAATAATTAGTGCTGATGTAGGTGAATCAGATTAAATAAACTTAAAATTAAACTCAAACTACATTATTACATACATTAAATAACTAAATTCTCAATGCTAGATTTAAATTGTCTTAAGGACGGACCAAAAATTCATGCATCATGTGCATTAACTTCCCGAGTTAATCTAGCTATTGGAGAAAAAAATCCATAATTCGTACGATGCAGCTTCGTGTGAAAAGTTGGATTGCTTCTCATCTGTCTTGTGGGGCAGTTTAAACTAAAAAGTGCTAACAGTTCTGAACAGCTGATATAACCATTAAATAATCTAAAAACATAAAAAGGTCAGTATGTAATCTTCTGCTTTCAAGAGTGCTTAAATTTAGTATGTCCTATATATTCTGGTAAGTATATTCTTCTCTTGTATACCCTAATTTCCATGCACAAGTGCGTAGAAACGAACTTTGAACCTTTTCCAAACTTTTGATATGGGTCATATACATAGGCGACCATACCACACTTGCATATTCTAAATGAGACCTTACAATGGAGCTATATACTAATTTATACGAATTGACGGGGAATAATTTCAATGATCTATTAATCAATCCAAGCATTCTGTAAGCCTTACTAACAATGTACTGTATATGTGGAACAAAACACAGTTTGAAGTCCATTATAATACCCAAATCACGAATTTTCGAAACCACCTTTACCGGTATCTGATTGATTTTATATGAAAAAACAATGATATGTTTAGTCCTATAAAAAGAGATTTTATAACACTTGTCAAAATTTGTTTCCATATCGTTCCATTTGCACCAATTTTCAACCTTTAGGAGATCATTCTGGAGAAGCGAACACTCCAGTACCGAAGATATACGCCTAAATATTTGCAAGTCATCTGCAAATAGACGTATTCTCGAATATTTTAACGAATTGCCTATATCATTTATAAAGAGATTAAATAAAAGAGGCCCACAATGGGACCCCTGAGGAACTCCGGATTTTACAATAACTGCCTTTGAGAGGAATTCGCCGATTTTTACTAGTTGAGAACGAGTTGTAATGAAGCTTTCTACCCACTTAACACACCTATCATCAAAATTCATTGCATTGAGTTTATATATTAAAATTTGATGATTAACCCTATCAAACGCTTTTGAAAAATCTTCATAGACCGAATCATTGCTTGATTACCCCCCTCAAGACTGCTTACAATACAGTTTTGATAAATAAGTAGATTTGTTGAAGTTGATCTGCCTTGACAGAATCCATGTTCTTCATCGACGATTATCTGTTTACATACTACTTTTAACTGATCAGCAATTAATCGATCTACAAGTTTTGGTAACACAGACTGATTGCAAATCCCCCTATAGTTTGTTATAAGCTCCTTGTCACCAGATTTGTAAATTGGTATCAAATAATTTGTTTTCCAAAAATCAGGAAATTTACCAGAGGAAATGGATAAATTGAATAAATATTGAATGGGTTTACATTAGGCTAAACACATACGGTATTAAAAATTGTGTTGGAATCCCATCCGGACCTGCGCTACCCGAAGGTTCCAAGGCTAAGATTCCATTAAATACTTCTTCCATAGTTACTAAACTGAAATTAAAATTCGTTTTACCAGATATCTGTACTTTGTTCAGGTCAATACTTTTGGATGGATCTCTGTAAACTGTTTGAAAATAATGTGCAAATAAATTGACAACTTCATTTGGTTCGCAAGACGACGTTTCATTATATTTCATCGTATTGGGATAACTATTGACATTGTTTTTATTTCTCCAATACTTCCAAAATAGTTTGGGATCAGAATTTATGTCTTGTTCAGTTCTACGTATAAACTCATCATAACATTCTTGTGTTTTATCTTTACAAAGTCCTCTGATTTGTGAGAATTTAAAATAATCGTTACAGTGACCTGTTTCCTTATATTTGGTATGTAGCTGTTTTTTCTGTCGAATAAGTTTTTTCAACTCTCCAGAAAACCACTTAGGGTATTGGGAAGATCGGAATTTCTTTACAGGGACCATATCTTGAATTATATCGTATATTACGAGTATACAGTAAAATGTGTTCACCGCTTGATCTAAATCTTGAGATAAAAAGAGTGTTTCCCAATTAAATAGATTAAGCCGATAATTTATTTCTTCAAAATAAGTCAAAATAAATTTCTTCTATCTTAAGATTACGAAATTTGGCATAACAATTAATTTGGACTATGTAGCTTGAGTGAAACATAGATTCATTTACAATAGGTGTATCTGCATACTTAGTTGTAAAATTAACTTCATTGGAAAATACTAAATCAAGAAAAGTGTTCATACTATTTGGTAAATAATTAATCTGAAACATATTTAAATAAGAGAAGCAATTTGTTATGCTTAGAACCTTGGGATCATTATTGCTATCGACCACCATTGTATTGTCAATGTTATTCCATGTAGCATTAGGCAAATTCTAATCCCCACATATAATCACCAAAGAATCCAAACAACTTTCAAGTGCATGCTTAGTGATAGAGCAGTAATTAAAAAATTATTATCCGGAAATTTGTGTCATAAGATGTTGTGTCTTGGATACATGATATGTATATTGTTGGTGAAGTGCTGATAAAACTGGAGACCAATTGGTAAAAACAGCCTGTTTTATATCTTCATATTTAACTCATCATTCAAATTTGTCCCCCATTTCAAAATGTTACGAGCCGCCACTGTATTATTGTACGTATTGTAGAACGCAGATGTAATAATTTTGGAAAGTACACCAAGAACGGTCCATATATTGGGTGTTCCCTTCTACTTTGTCTGTCAAAAAATTATAATTTGGCCAACAAACTGTAATTTGTAATTTTACGACACGACAATTACTAGCACTAATAATTTTATATTAGAACTTATTAATATATCAGACCGCTTCCTTTGAGTCTAACCGAGCATAAGTAATTACGATTCTCTTAGGAACCCACGCCAAAACTTCCAATGTGACAAATTTTTTAAAATATTTTTATTTTTCATATTAATAAATACGCTACATATACACCTCTTAAGAAGTACAAAGTAATACAAAAAATTAAAAACCTAACTCCCTAAAGTAATTATTAATAATTATTACATGGATTAACATTTATAATACAATCCAATAAAATATCATATAAAATATAAATATTTACAAATACTTCCGAAGCTACCATTAAATCATGAAATAAACCCACCGAAACGTGGGAGCTTCTTTTACGTGGACCGTGGTGATATGATAAAATATTGCACCCAGAGGGATCCTCGGCCTAGAAACTTCTTCGAGATGCTATAATTTCATGTTTTATCGTACTAAATCCTATTCATTTAAGCGCTTAATGTTTCCTTTCTTTTCGTCGTTGTTTAGAATATTTTGCTTTTACTCAAATATGTTCCTCAAAAGACAGTGTATTTTGGGGTATTTACGTATCGTGCCTCCGGCTGAGGGAAAAAAATGCAAATAGAGATACTAAATCCTTGAGCGAATGACAACTTTAAACTTGTTTAAATATATACACTCACGAATGTAACTAAACTTTATTATAAGCAATATTTTTTGGATTAGGAAGAAAAGGCCTGTAATTGTTACTTCTTAAACTTTCAAATTCTGGTTGAATTTCAATGAGCTTTAAAATAGGGGATTATTGTTTACTTACAATAAATTAAAATATTTTATAAAGCTTAGGAAAATTTTACTTTTTATTTTGCGAGCATAAGCTAATGAATAGAGTGAATAGCTATTGTCATAATTTCTCGACGTTTCATGACCCCGAGTGTATGAAAAAATAGATCCCCGTTTCCGTCTGTTTATCTGTTGTCTGTTTGTGTCGAATTTTATTAGACATATAATTCCGAAAGTACTAGATTGATTGTTGTCAAATTTTATTTATATATCTTAAATATCATGTACAGATTGTAGGCGGTAAGACGGTAACCAAAATTTGTCTGATCATCCTCACCAAGTACCAAGAATGTAAAGACGTTACCCCAAACATCCTGATTTAAAAAATAATCATAACGTTTCACAATTTAAATGCAAAACTCAATATTTTGAAATCTTGCATATGTTTTAAGGTTGTCATGAGCATGGGAATTTTTTAGTCAAAATTGTTTATCCCCTCTGCAAAAAATTGATGACAAAAATTTCCCTAATAAATCCTACCTAAAATGTGCAAAATATGATGAGTGTATACCTGTGATATCAATGCATTAATATTTTTTAGAATTACTTAGGTTTTTGTATGAAATAGGTCGTAAACGTTTACAAATAAAAATAAATGGACATCTACATGATTTATTAATAATTTATATACTCTATATACATAAAAATGATAATACAGATAAATTTGTTAATTAATTATTTTATATCTAGTTTGATGAATTCGCTTTATTACAAAACTATTTACGCAGCTTCTCAAAACTCAGTTTGAAAATTTTGTCATACTTGTCAGTACAAATGTATTGTACATTGAAAAACTTCGTTCAAATTTTGTTCACTTAATAGAATAGATTAATTTATCACTTTT